TATAGTTTACTTTACGTAAACGGTTACGGTAAGGAGGAGGAGACGTAACGTAAGGTAGTAGTACGTTACGTAGGTAGTAGTAAGTAGTTACTTAGTTAGTATATATATATATATATATATATATATATATATATATAAGCTCAATTTTATTTTCTCTCTAATAAAAGAAAGGTAAGAAGTTCTTATTGAAGTTTACAAAATTATCCACAGGATAGATAAAATAGAAGCTTCCAATTTATTTGTGTATTATTCTGAAGACAATAAGACAGAAGTTTAAAATTTTAAAAAAGACAGGCTGACTTTAGTTAAGACAGGTTTATTTTTAAGAGGGGAATTGGCTTTGGTCACATTCAAAAAAATAAAAGTTAACAAATATACTATGAGAGATCAAAGTACACCATCTCATGGACTTCTAACCACATTAAAGTGACATTAATTATTGAAAATCCAATATCATAAGGAAACCATTAACTGTTTTGAGTTCACATGTTTAAAAATAATTCTGAAACTCAAAATAAGCTATACATCTTAAAAGGGCAAAAAAAAGTGGACTAACATGATGTAACATAACTTAAAATTGCAAAGTATCAAAATTTGTGCATAAAAAGACTGGAAACTTTTAGCATACAACATTTTTTGAATATCACCTTCAAAGAAAAAAAAAAGAAGCATAACTGACTGTATGCTTTTACAGATGCTAAGGTTTGTAATGTGTTATATTCCAATAAAACAATACAAGTTTGAACTATCAGATTGGTGTACTAAATAAATAGATTTAATTACAGAGTATTACAAAACTATTACTTAATTGACTCTATATTAAACAAAATAATGAGACTGGACACAAGTATAAAACAGAATGAATAATCTTTATTGTGTATAGAACACAAATATGGTGTGTGTACTTGAAGTTTAGTTACAACCATTGAATGATCACTTTCAATAGATATTTTCTCAGGTGAAAATCATCCACCAGACTGCCAAGTCCAAGATTTTTGTTAGTTTCCAAAACTTCACATTTACCTAGCACAACATGCACTACCACATGACTAGTCATTCTCATTACACATAGGTAGGGCCATAACCTCTAGATATTACCTGAACAACCACTGAAGGACACTGTTGTTGACATTCTTACACAAAGTTTGCTTAACGTGCAAGAATAACAAAAAATAACTTGAAACAAGACCAACTTAACGGTTTTCTCAATCACCTGTTATTTGAACTATTCACCCGTTTAGAACAAAGAACACATTCAGAATTATTATTATAATACAACAAGAAGACAGAAATACATGGTATATTCATACACCATAGTACTGCTTCAACAAGATCAAATACAAAAAATTACTGAATAAATGTTAAAAACAAAAACTAAAGTTCCAAAATAAAACTGAATGATTTACCTTTTTTTTTTTTTTTTTTTGTAAATTAGTGCTTTAGAGATTACCCCAGGCAAACGTTTTACATTCATCTGATGACATCTTGTTCCCTTCACAAGTATGGAAAAAACAATTTAACATACTTGTATGTCAGTCAACTCAATAGCTATAAAAAAGTAAAAAGAGGCATATGACCAAACAGTGAGAGATAGTTTAAATTGCAATACGTTTTTACAAATAAGAACAAAGCTAAGAAATACATGCTCAAAATTTCAACAATCAATATCTAGCCTTTTAATAATTACATTCTAGAGCTTGAATAAACATACAACAGTCTTAAATTTGTAATGTAAGTAACACATATCACTTAGCTTAACCTAGCTCCTACTTAATCTGAATTAATTAGAAATCTTGATGTTTCTAAAACTAATACTGTTCCTTTTATATTTTCATGTTAATGAAGAACATGAACACCCACCGCCAACTCTTGGGCTGCTCTTTTACCAACGAATAGTGGGATTAACCATCACTATATAATGCCCCCACGGCTGAAAGGGCGAGCATGTTTGGTGTGACGGGAATTAAACCTGCGACCCACAGATTGCGAGTCGAGCACCCTAACCACCTGGCCATGCTGGGCTGTGGTTCAAAGGATAGTGAAATTATGTATGTTGAATTGGTGTCCTATTTCTTCACTATAGTGACATACAGAGGAAGCACAGGAGTTACACAACTTTTCCATTTTAATGAAAATCTTCCATTCTGAAAACCAGAGCCAATGAACATATATAGGAGAATTTCCAATAAAATGCAAAAAAAAAAAGTTAAGTAATCCCTGTCCTTCTTCTATACATCAGCATAATAAAGAAACAGGACTCATTTCAACATACCTAATTTCACTATACTCTGCAAGGCCAACGCTGTAGAATTATTGAATCTTTATTCACATCACACAGCTTTCTACAACCATGAATAACATGAACTCTTTATTGAAATTGCACATCCATATATATAATAGTACTCTCTGTTGTATGTTCATGTACCTACTTTGCAGGGTGTGGCTGAATCTACACCAAAATTGGTATGAAGGTTCACCAGGTCTGTGTGGGGTACATACAAATTTTCAGTTTTGCATTTTGTATCTTTTTTTGGGGGCATTTTTTACCACTACTTTGCCTCCTGTTGATGGATCTTCACCAAATTTGATACAGAGGTTCATTGCTCATTGGGAAGATTCACACAAATGTTCAGTTTTGCATTTTGTAGTTTCACATTTTTACCACTACTTCACCTCTGTTGATGGGTCCATGTGTTTCACATTTTGTGTTTTGCAGTTTTATGGCCTTTTTTACAATTACATATAATGGAAGCAACTTTTCATGTCCTCAGATAATCTTTCATTAATCATCAATTTACGTAACTTCTGTTCATGGAACAGGTACTCCAGCTAGTTTTTAATATTTTATGAATATTGATGTTAGTCTTACTTCTAGTATGTTTTCTTGTTCAAACTTCTCTTAGTGACTCTTACTCACTTTCCGTTCCTTTTTTTTTGTCTAATTATTGTTAAATGTAAGATTGTAATCTTAAATTGATGTTGCACAATTTAAATTATTACTAATATTAGTAACATGTAAGACCTAGCCTGTTTCACAGTCATTTAACAGTAATATTAGTAACAAAATCATTTAAAACAAAAAACAGAAAGAAAAACGGAAATGCAACTAAACGACAAAATAATAAAAACTGGGAACTCCAAGCGATATTTCGCATAAAATTGTAAATGCTCCTAGAAAATAACTAACAATAACAAGCATTAAATTTAAAAGTAAAATAAATTTTCATAATATCCAAAGCTTTAAGTTTGGTTTAACTACATGTGACAAGTTAAATGTCTCGAGTCAAGACCATATTCTTAATCAACATCATTCACACTTACGTTACACATTGCCAAGGTCTGGAAATTATATCTTAATTAGCGACTGTTGGTTCCTTTTTATAACTTTATTTCGTAGCAATAGCATCCAATTTTCAAAGTACATAACGTCATAATCATTTAAGTATTACTGGATTTACCTAAATGCCAAAGAGGCCTAGGGGCGACAAAAAAATATAAAACTATAAGTATAAACAAATTGTAACAAATTACAAAAAAAGTAAAATTTAATATCAATAAAATAATAACATCTAAGTTTTTAATTAAATATTTTGATTTTCTATTTTCCTCTATGTTGTTGCATTTTAAAATATACTTTTTCTTACTACACCAAAAACTTAAATTTCTTAATTTTAAATTATAATATTGTTATGCCTCCAGTCGTTAGTTAATTTTCCGTAACTTCGTTCCGACGAAACTTTAGCGACACAAGTCCTTT